AGTTCTCAGGAGGGGAAGGAGAGTTCTCAGGAGGCTAGGAGGGGTCTTAGAAGGCTAGGAGAGTTCTCAGGAGGGGAAGAAGAGTTCTCAGGAGGCTAGGAGAGTTCTCAGGAGGGGAAGGAGAGTTCTCAGGAGGGGAAGAAGAGTTCTCAGGAGGGGAAGAAGAGTTCTCAGGAGGCTAGGAGAGTTCTCAGGAGGCTAGGAGGGGTCTTAGAAGGCTAGGAGAGTTCTCAGGAGTGGAAGAAGAGTTCTCAGGAGGCTAGGAGAATTCTCAGGAGGCTAGGAGAGTTCTCAGAAGGGGTAGGAGAGTTCCCAGGAGGCTAGGAGAGTTCTCAGGAGGCTAGGAGAGTTCTCAGGAGGCTAGAAGAGTTCTCAGGAGGCTAGGAGAGTTCTCAGGAGGCTAAGAGGGCTCTCAAGAGGAGGCCAAACAGAACCCCTGTACTCATAACCCTATTTTTTGTTCCCTTGACTTGGTGATCTTCTGTTTTCCCCTCTTCCTTATTTTCCTTCATTCCTCCTCTGTTTTTTTCCTGTCCCATGTCCTTTGCCTCATGCACAATTCGCCCCATTGCCCTCGACCCTTTATTTTCCTTTTTTCATCTACCTTTTCCTTCCCTTTCCTTTAGAATTTTCAACTCGAATCCCTCTCCCCGTTCCCTCCCTTTTCCTTCCCCGTACCCCATTTCACCCCATTCCCCCCCCCCCCTATCTCACCTATTCCAGCAGCCCCCTCTCCTTTCCCATTCTCACCTGGTCGTAAATCTCCTGCAAGATCCATGGCTTTCTTTTTCTACTCTCTTCCGTTTTATGGCAATGATAATTTTTTGCCTTTTCCATCTCTCTCTCTCTCTCTCTCTCCCTCTCTCTCTCTCTCTCTCTCTCTCTCTCTCTCTCTCTCTCTCTCTCTCTCTCTCACACATTTATTTAAATAAACCAATTTTGTCAAAAATTATCCTTTTATTCAAATTACCTTTTCATCTTCTGCCTTTACCTGTCATCTGTGTGATGAGGCCCACCCACCTGTCCATCCTGCGATGAGGCCTACCCACCTGTCCATCCTGTGATGAGGCCCACCCACCTGTCCATCCTGTGATGAGGCCCACCCACCTGTCCATCCTGTGATGAGGCCCACCCACCTGTCCATCCTGTGATGAGGCCCACCCACATGTCCATCCTGTGATGAGGCCCACCCACATGTCCATCCTGTGAAGAACACTATATACACCTCAGTTGATCGTGGGGTCGATCTTACGGGCTCACCATAGCCCGTGCTACACGGACACTTCGTTCTGAGTAATTAAATCTAAAACAACAACATCGTGGTGTCTGACCTCGTAGTCACCCATCCAGTCCTGGGCTTAACCTGACAGATTAAGCTGTGTGGCGCAAAGCATCAGCTTCGTCGTGGATTAAGCATCAGTGGAATGTGAGTTGGTCGCGTTATCATGGGTCGCGTTATCTTGCGTCGCGTTATCATACGACCAGCCAATACCCGCGTGATTCTTGACGTCACGAAATCTCCACCAATCGCCTGGCGGCGAGTGACTAACGCTCGCCAGGAAGAAACAGACAAGCGCAAAATTCATGTGATATGTTTATGACCGGCTGGGAATGATTTAGTAGCTGAATTCAGAGAGGTGTGCGCTCAAGGGGTAAATCAAGTGTGGGTGTGTGTGTGTGTGTGTGTGTGTGTGTGTGTGTGTGTGTGTGTGTGTGTGGTGTGTGTGTGTGTGTGTGTGTGTGTGTGTGTGTGTGTGGGTGTGCGCGCACCTGTTGAGGAGAGCTCGTGGTCTCATTTTTAAGCGTTGATGTGTAGTCACTATATTCAGCCATGAGGGGGAAGACAGTGGGGGGGGGGGGGATGTTGGTGCTCATTTTGCATTTTGGAGAGTTCTGGCGTGTAACAGGGGGGGGGGGTCAGATTCCACGAAGCAGTTACGCAAGCACTTACGGACGTGTACATCTTTCCTCAATTTGTGACGGCTTTCCCAATCAACTTGTTATAAACAGCCTCCTGGTGCTTCGGAGCTCATTAGCTGTTTAATAATTGTAAACAAAGTCGCCAAAGATTGAGAAAAGATGTACAGGTTCGTAAGTGCTTGCGTAACTGCTTCGTGACTCTAGGTCCTGGTGCTCAGTTCTGGGATTTTCAGGAGCTCCGTTGACGATGCTTTAAGTGTTCACTTAAGTGTTCCTTTAAGTGTTCCTTGTGTTCGGGCAGCTTGTGGTGTTCAGTTGCCGACTTCCGTTTTTTTTTCTCTGTTGAAGACTTGTGGACTTAACTGACGACTTCCTGTTGAGTTTTTTTTTTACCTGTTAGAAACTTGCTGAGCTCCAATTGGCTGTTGGAGAGTGTGTGTGGGGGGGTGGGGGGTGTGGGGTGTGGGGTGTGTGTGTGTGTGGGGAGGGTGGGGGGGTGTAGGGTGTGGGGTGTGTGTGGGGGAGGGGGGTGTATGTGGAGTGACTAGGGTAAGTGGGTTAGTGTGTACCACTTTAGGACACAATAGGGAGGATGGCTGGCTGCGGTGAGATTATGAAGTTATCCTGAGGGAAGATACCTTGGTATGAAGCATTCTGGTAATGGGTGTGGGAGAGAGGAGGATGGGGGGGGGGGGTGTCTGTGGGGCAGGGAGGGGGGGGTTGAAGGTTGGATGATTGTGTGTGCTCACCTAATTGTACTCACCTAATTGGGCTTGTGGGAGTTGAGCTCCGGCTATTTGGTCCCGCCTCTCAACCGTCAATCAACTGATGTAGTCTCTGGTAGGTAAGTTCTCTGTTCGTGGTTCTTCTCCCCCTTCCTCCTCCATCTTCTTCCTTCTACACACCTCATCGGCTCTTCCCTCCCCCTCCCTTACCTCAGTTTCTTACCCCACTCCGAGCAGGTAATCAAGATAATATCTTTCTCTTGGTGAACTTCCCAATCGAAAATGTCTCCTACAGGTGGAGGTATTTTAGTCACCCTTCTCTCTACCCCCTCTCACTCTTGTTTCCTCCCTCTCTCTCTGTCTGTCTCTCTCTCTCTCTCTCTCTCTCTCTTCTCTCTCTCTCTCTCTCTCTCTCTCTCCTCTCCGCTCTCTCTCTCTCTCTCTCTCTCTCTGCTCTCTCTCTCTCTCTCTCTATCTCTCTCTCTCTCTCTCTCTCTCTCTCTCTCTCTCTCTCTCTCTCTCTCTCTCTCTCTCTCTACTCTCTCTCTCTCTCTCTCTCTCTCGTCTGTCTCTCTCTCTCTCTCTCTCTCTCTCTCTCTCTCTCTCTCCCTCTCTCTCTGTCTGTCTCTCTCTTCTAACTCTCTCTCTCGCTCTCTCTCTTCTCTCTCTCTCTCTCTCTCTCTCTCTATTCTCTCTCTCTCTCTCTCTCTCTCTCTCTCTCTCTTCTGTCTGTCTCTCTCTGTCTCTCTCTCTCTCTCTCTCTCTCTCTCTCTCTCTCTCTCTCTCTCTCTCTCTCTCTCTCTCTCCTCTATCTCTCTCTCTCTCTCTCTCTCTCTCTCTCTCATAGCCTGTGGTTTAATTTCTATATTTTCGAATATCAAAAGTGGGTTAAAACAAACGAATGGATGTTTATTGTCTTAATAAATAACAAATTTTATATCACTTCTCTACCTTATGAAGAGAGTTTAAGAGTTTGTATTGTCAAGTGGTACAAATTCCGCCTCAGCTGGCCTCAGTTCTACTTCAGCTGGCCTCAGTTCCACTTCAGCTGGCCTCAGTTCCACCTCAGCTGGCCTCAGTTCCACCTCAGCTGGCCTCAGTTCCACTTCAGCTGGCCTCAGTTCCACTTCAGCTGGCCTCAGTTCCACTTCAGCTGGCCTCAGTTCCACTTCAGCTGGCCTCAGTTCCACTTCAGCTGGCCTCAGTTCCACTTCAGCTGGCCTCAGTTCCACTTCAGCTGGCCTCAGTTCCACTTCAGCTGGCCTCAGTTCCACTTCAGCTGGCCTCAGTTCCACTTCAGGTGGCCTCAGTTCCACCTCAGCTGGCTTCAATTCCACCTCAGCTGGCCTCAGTTCTACCTCAGCTGGCCTCAGTTCCACTTCAACTAGCCTCAGTGCCTCTTGGTGGCACCCTTCCGGTCGCTGGGGTCCACGAGGGTGCCCAGAGCGATAGCAGGAAAAGAACCCTCAGGCATTCAAAGGATAAGGTGGCATACCGGGCCGCCAGAGAGAGAGAGAGAGAGAGAGAGAGAGAGAGAGAGAGAGAGAGAGAGAGAGAGAGAGAGAGAGAGTTGCATGAAGGCAGACGAAGGAGTCAGAATGGAGTAACAGCTCGACGACAAACACACACACACACACACACACACACACACACACACACACACACACACACACACACACACACACACACACACACACACACACACTCAGGGGACACAGGTGGAAATTGAGTGCCCAAATGAGCCATGGAGATATTAGAAAGAACTTTTTCAGTGTCAGAGCAGTTAGTAAATGGAATGCATTAGGCAGTGATGTGGCAGTTGAGAGGCGGGACCAAAGAGCCAGAGCTCAACCCCCGCAAGCACAACTAGGTAAGTACACACAGCAACCTGACAAGGTTGACCTTACAAAACGTTCACAGTTCCGGAAGCCTATACCCCCCTCCCCCACTGTGTCGTACATCAATAGCTACCTTTCATGCCGTTAACATTGCTCATCAACAATGTCTAAACGATACCCAAAAGATAAACTATTAGTCTTATCATAAGTGATGAATTATGTTGCAATACAATGAGAGAGAAACAGGCGAGCGCTGTCATCCCGATATTACGAATAATAGCAGGAAAATAATCAGCCGGAAAGACATTATAAACATTCGTAATCATTGTAATGAAGGGAAAGAAAATTGGTTAAAAAGAAAAACAGTTGGAAGGTGTTGGGAGTTTCCGTCCCTGACAGGTTTCCAATACGGCGGTGTGGCGCCTAGTGCAACAAGTCCCCGCCATTATTGGAACCTCCTCCTCCTCCTACCCCTTCCCCCACTCCCTCTCTCTCTCTCTCTCTCTCTCTCTCTCTCTCTCTCTCTCTCTCTCTCTCTCTCTCCTCCCCTCACCCTATCCACCTCCTTCCGCCAACCGCCGGCCAATTCTTTCTTCTCTATTTCTCTTCTCTCCTCCTACACCCGGCTTCTCTCACCACCACCGGGCCCTCAGGCACTGCCGAGCCTGCCAAAAGGATGACATTTTTTTCCCTCTCTCTTCCTTAGTTTCCTCCCCCCCCCCTCCCTCCCCGCACACACCCACCCCTTTCCCTTCCCTTTTGAAAATCGAATTACGGCACCGCCTATTTACCCAGCGGAATGTTTGCAGTGATATTTTCTTTAAAAAATCCTATTATCCCTTGAAGCAGAATCGTGGGGAGTTTTGTATGGTAGAGTTAGAGTAGTGTTGTGTGTGTGTGTGTGGGGGGGGGGGGGGGTGGCGGGGTAATTGTGTGTGTACTCGCTTAGTTGTGCTTGCGTGGGGTTGAGTTCCGTCTCTTGGGTCCCGTCTCTCAACCGTCAGTCTATGTGTGTGTGTGTGTGTGTATGTGTATGTGTGGTTTATGAGGGGGCGCTTCTCATACAGGGTCAAGATATCCCAAAAGATGATTTGTTACCTCGTGACATGAAAGTGTCCTTCTTGACTCCCTCATTCCCTCATTCCCTCCCTCCCTCACTCCCTCACTCCCTCCCTCACTCCCTCCCTCATTTCTTCTATGTGAGATACGTCTAATTATCCCTCCCTCCTCTCTATTTTTCAGTTTTGTTCCATTTGGCTTTGTAAATTACCGGTGGTAGGTCGGTTGGGATATGTGTACTACTACTACTACTACTACTACTACTACTACTACTACTACTACTACTACTACTACTACTATTACTACTACTAGCACAATTGGTAGATCTACCACTACCTGTACTGCTACTACTAATTGTGTGCCTTCTGCTGCTACTTCTACCAGTTCTACTACCAGTACTCAACTACCCAGCGGCCATGAGTCTTTGCGAGACTGTCTCGGACGCGATTGATTGATGGAGATTAAGCCACCCCAGAGAGGGGAGCATGGGCATGAATAACCCGTTAAGGGGTAGATGTTTGGGGTGAATGGGATCGTTTTGAATGTTCCTTTGTCGGACCTGAGGTTAAGTGACCTTTAAATACTACACCGCAGCTTTCAGGTCTAAGCACACGGTCTTCACAGTGTCAAGCACAGTGCCTAGTGCCACGTGCCAAGCTCAGTGCCTAGTGCCAAGCACAGTACCTAGTGCCAAGCACAGTACCTAGTGCCACGTGCCAAGCACAGTACCTAGTGCCACGTGCCAAGCACAGTACCTAGTGCCACGTGCCAAGTACAGTGCCTAGTGCCACGTGCCAAGCACAGTGCCTAGTGCCACGTGCCAAGCTCAGTGCCTAGTGACACGTTCCAAGCACAGTGCCTAGTGGCACGTTCCAAGCACAGTGCCTAGTGACACGTTCCAAGCACAGTGCCTAGTGACACGTTCCAAGCACAGTGCCTAGTGCCACGTTCCAAGCACAGTGCCTAGTGACACGTGCCAAGCTCAGTGCCTAGTGCCAAGCACAGTACCTAGTGCCAAGCACAGCAGGTATGATATTGAGATTCACTGCATTAGACAACCAACGGGTAGAAAATCGGGGTCCAAGAACTAGAGCTTGATCCTGCAGGCACAAATAGGTGAGTACACACACACAGACACAAACGGGGCTGACAGGTGAGTGGACAGCGCTCGGGATTCGTAGTCCTAAGGGTCCGGGTTCGATCCCCGGCGGAGGCGGGAACAAATGGGCAGATTTTATTTCACCCTGATGCCTCTGTTCACCTAGCAGTAACTAGGTACCTGGGAGTTAGACAGCTGCTACGGGCTGCTCCCTGTATGTGTGTGTGGGGGGGGGGTTAAGCAAAAATAAGTTTATTTATTGACAGTTAAGAGGCGGGCCCAAAGAGCCAGAGCTCAACCCCCGAAAGCACAAGTAGATGAGTACACACTCACACACACGCACACACACACCCATGACCAAACACACTCTTACGTCCACTACACCCACGCCCGCACTCTAAAATGCGTCCCGAACTCACACACTCTAAAGCTCTTCTTCCACATTCACAAACGTCTACCACACTAAAGCCGTCTCTCATCCACTGTGCCTTCTCTCCCCTCCTCTACCTCCTCCTCTCCTCCTCCCCCCCCCCTTCCCCAATCCTAATCCTCCTCCCCATCCTCCTCCTCCTCCTAGCTCTCCCTCGCTCTTCAAGACGGCGTGCAAGAGACAGGAAACCTAAATGAATCTTTTTAATTTACCTGCAAGACAAGACCTCCCTTGAAGGCAAACCTACCAAGGACCTTCCACAGTCTTCTGACGTCACGAGTAATTTGGGTCGAGTCGTTAGAAGACAGGAGAGTAGTTGGGAATGACTGATCTACTTCTCGTAAGATTGAGGAATAACTGATCTACTTGTAAGATTGGGGAATTCCTCTCTTACTTCTGGGAGGGATATCTTAGGATGTAAGACACTTATCTTATTTCCTAAGGCTCCATATATATATATATATATATATATATAGATATATATATATATATATATATATATATATATATATATATGTGTGTGTGTTGTGTGTGTGTGTGTGGTGTGTGTGTGTGTGTGTGTGTGTGTGTGTGGGTGTGGTGTGTTTTGTAGATCAAAAGAAAACTATTTCAAGCAAACATAACAATCGTATCTGCAATAAAGCCTGATAATAGAGTCCTTGAACCGTCAATTAAACCTACATAATGACCGTTAACAACTGCTGTTTGACCTGAGCTCCTCATTTCCCCAATAAACAATGAGTCCAAGATGATGAGGTTAAGTCTGTAGGGGGCACAGCAGGTCCGGCCCTCATGCCGCCCTGACTGAACGAACGGTGGAGCTACGGTGTTTCCTAACTGCAGAATGAGGTACAAACACGTTCATGCAAAGGGTAGTCGAATATTGTGTTTGGAACGTCGCGGGGGTGAATCCTCAGGGTGTGGAACGTCGTAACTTGGTGTTTGAAACGTCGTGACGTTCACCCTGCTTGTGGAACGTCGTAACTTGGTGTTCGAAACGTCGTGACGTTCACCCTGCTTGTGGAACGTCGTAACTTGGTGTTTGAAACGTCGTGACGTTCACTCCCTGCTTGTGGAACGTCGTAACTTGGTGTTTGAAACGTCGTGACGTTCACTCCCTGCTTGTGGAACGTCGTAACTTGGTGTTTGAAACGTCGTGACGTTCACCCTGCTTGTGGAACGTCGTAACTTGGTGTTTGAAACGTCGTGACGTTCACCCTGCTTGTGGAACGTCGTAACTTGTCGTTCGAAACGTCGTGACGTGACTGTATTGCGTCTTGTGTAGGGTCAATTCTATAGCATTTGATAAGTGCACTTAGAACATTAAAGTGTGAACACTTATTAACGAGACTGAACTTGATGCTACAGATAAAGTGAAGCAACACCCGTTATTTAGTGAACAATCCACTTACTCACCAAACACGTCGTGGTTTTGTCGTCGGCCGTTCGAAATACGCCGTAAATCCGTATATAAACAAAGCACCGTAATATTGATTGATAAAGATTAAGCCACCCAAGAGGTGGCACGGGCATGAATAGCCCGTAATAAAAAAAAAAAAGCACCGTAATATCACCGTTTTCTATATATGGGCCTCGATAGGTTAGGTGGGGTGCTCGGGTTCCCACGTTTCTGGTTAGGCAGAACCGTTGTTTTTTTTTTTTTTACGTTTTAGCTAATTTAGAGAAAGGGCTGGGCAGTGGAGCCTCCATAACAGTTAGTCATGTAAGTTATAAGTGGAGTAATCGCTCAAGGTGTCACTTACACGCTATAGTTACTGACTTAACACTTTTTAAGTGGTATAACTATCCTCATATCCCTTCCTTGTGGCATATATTCCAATTGGCTTAGCATTTACTACTGATCATTTACCTGTAATTAAGTGTGGCAAATAATGTTATGTATTAATTTATTTAACGTTATGATGTATGACGTATATTGTACACTAATTATAAGTGTACATTAATTAGGTCACTATTTTCTTAAGCATTTTCTTT